TTTTTCTAAAGCTAAGGCATTTTGAATATTAATTCATTCTTTTATCACTGTTAAAGTTAATCTGTTAAAAAGGTTTAATATTTTCTGATTAAACTTCTGATTTTGTGTTACTATTATTAATAACATATTCATTATAGAAGGCTTAGAAAGGCTTAGAATACATAAGGCTTAGAAATACATAATCTCCTTATTTGGTTTATTTCTTTACACACCTTTAAATATGTATATGCACACCTTTTCTTCCTGTAAAATTGGACCTTATCGTATACTTGCTTTATATTGTATACTTTTTTGTGTTATGAAATATGCTTGCTTTATTTTATGTACTTTTTTTTACATTATGAAGTATTCTTTTAAATGCGCTTTTTGATGGTTTCATGGTATTACGTTGTATGAAGATATCATCATTTATTCAATGATTCCCTTGCCATAGCAGTGTTAAGCCTGTTGGTATAATATACAAGAATTAAGATCCAGTTAAAATATATTAATAAGCTAGTGTAACACATTACTTCAGTGAGTGCAATTTATTACTAATGTACTTTATAATGAATGAGTTAGATTTTAGTGGGAACATTTATATATTTCCAATGTATTATTAGTCAACTTGGGTTGCCATAACAAAATACCTTTGACTAGGTGGATTAAACAACAAAAATTTGTTTCTTATAGTCCGGAAGCTGGGAAGTCCAAGATCAAGGTGCCAGACAATTCGTTTCCCCAGAGAGGGCTCTCTTCCTGGCTTGCAAGTGGCCACCTTCGTAATGTGTCCTCACAGGGTGAAGAGAGGGGAAACAAATTCTGTGGTATCTCCTTATAAAATAGCACTAATCCCATCATGAGGGCCGGCCCCACTATGATGATTCCATCTAAACCTAATTACCTTTCAAAGGCCCCATCTCCGAATACTATCATAAATGGGTGATAGGGCTTCAACATAAGAATTTTATAGACACAATTCAGTCCATAGCAGCCAACAATGAGAACTATTTCAGAAACTGCTTATTTTTACCTAAGCATCATTTTAAAAACTAGGATCTAGAATTGTTCTCATTTTACCTGTAGAAAAGATTGTCTGAAAATCTTCACAGAAAAAGTAAAAATAACTATTGCTTATTCATCATGAAATACATAGTTAAATTATGCATTATTGGCATAAAATGAAACTATGAAATTGCATGAAATTGCTGAAATGATTTATGTACTATTCCATTCCATGAATGTTCATAGTTCCAGAAAACCTGCAAATGTCTCTTTATGTCTTTTAAAATACTTTATGAAAATAGGCTTTAGAGAGTTTCCTTTTCTTATTTGGAAAATAATAGCCAATTTTATGGATGATTATGATCAATTACTGAAGTTCCCTTTAAAATTAGTCTCATTCTCTCCATAAGTAAATGATATAACTAATAAGGAAGCTTTGCTATGTTTTAGTGTTTTATATTTTTTAAAATATAGTTATATAACATCAATTTTTAAAATTTCAGTGATAGATTGTTCTTATAATAACAATATCCCTAGGGTAGAATAAGTAGGATCTCTGTTTAATATTTGAGAAACTTAGAAGTTGGAGAAATTGATTTTACTTAGGTTCAAAAATCCAGATTGGGTCAGTTCTGCTACTTCAAGCTATAGGCAATACAAAACCAAGGGACATAGCTGTGTTCCAGTAATACTTTATTTACAAAGACAAAGCAGCAGCCATATTTGTCCCACAGGTTGTAGTTTGCTGACCCCTGGATTAGAATATAAAGTGAAATAAAGCTCCTCACCGTAATATTTTTTATTATGTCCGATGTTTTGTTTGCTTTAATCCCATTCTAACTTAATGCTTTCATTCCTACCTCTACTCTCTTTAATTTCACCTGAGTGCCAGGGTGCTTTTATATCTTCAGCTTCTTTTCCAGGCTCTCTAACATCCTCATACATCTTTCCAGCCTTGTTGTCAAGGTCCCCCAAGTTTAATTAATCAAAAATTTAATATTAGGAGTGAGTAATGGTAAGGAAATGGAGGAGCTGGGTATAAAAAAAAAAGACTCCCATGGATTTGGGTGATCTTGGAAGACTTACTACAGGAGGCAGGACTTGAGCTGACTCTTCAAAGACTGAAGGAAAATTAAATATTAGAAAATGAGAAGAGTATTTCAGTAAATTTTTGACAAGATGTGAATCTCACATATTTCCTCCCTACCCCAAGTCATCTCCAAAATATGGAATCCCACCATGGACTGGTTCTTTTCAAGATCATATCCTGGAACAAAGTGCTAAAGGTGTGGCTTGGTTCTCCCTTGGGATTTTATCTCTTTGAATTCTGTTTTCTTCCATGTGGTTAATAGATAAAGTGGGCATGGGTGCTGACCTACCTTGGGGAGCTCCCCACACCAGCTTTGCTCTAGGAACTCTGGCAGGTGGGCTTCTCTCTGGCTTGTTGTTCCTTAGTGCCCTAGTTGAGATAGGAAAAAACAAAAGTGTTTTTCCTACTCTCACACTCAATACAATACAGAACATTTTACCTCTGGTCGCAAAAATGTGTGCGAGTTTTCCCCCCACCAACAACCAGTTCCCCAGTGGACACCAACTGAGTGTCCTGTAATTCAATTCAGTTGTGACACTATCTACCTGGAGATAGCATCAGATCCCACAGGTTAAGGGCCCTGTCCCCCAAGACTGCCCCCACTTCAGATGCCAGTCATAAACCCCAAGTTCTGACCTGTTCTTCTTACCAATCTATATATATCGCGGGTTCCCACTCCCCACTCCTTGGGGTCAATTAATTTGCTAGGATGGCTCACAGAACTCAGGGAAACACTTAAATTTGCCCACTTATTATAAAGGGTATTACAAAGGCTACAGATGAACAGCTAGATGGAAAAGTTGCAGAGGGCAAGGTTGTAGAAAGGGGTACAGGACCCTCCCAGCACCTCCACTTGTTCAGAAATCTGGAAGCTCTCCAAACACTGTCCTTCTGGGTTTTTCTGGAGGCTTCGGTATGTAGGCATGCTTGATTAAATCATTGGCCATTGGTGATCAGCCTTCAGTCTTCTCCTCCCTGGAGGCTGAGGGGTGGGACTGGAAGTTCAACCCTCTTGTCACATGGTTATTTCCTCTGGCAACCAGCCCCCATCCCGAGGCCATCCAGGAGCCCACCAGAAGTTACTTCATTAGAACAAAATACACTCCTATCACCCAGGAAATTCCGAGGTAGGTAGGAGCCCTGTGTCTGATGATCCTATTGCTCAGGAAATTACAAAGCTCTTAGGAGCTCTATGTCAGGAAGTGGGGGCAGAGTCCAAATGTATATTTCTTAATATATACAGACCTTTTCAGTGTCTTCTGGCCATTTACTTGGTAGGTAGGTATGACCCCAGGAGATGGAAAGACACCCAACTTTGTTGAATCATGGGCTACTTTAAAGCTTAAATGCATAAATGAAAGGAGTCCTCCACAGGAATTGTATTAACTCATTATGGACATAATTTGGGATTCGGAATTAGGGTTTGGAATTAAAGACTATGAATAAACACTTCTGTGTACATATTTGCCTATGAACCTTGCAGAAAAAGGGGTTGCTGTGGCAAGACAGATGGGTTCCTGCCACCTCTCAATCTTTTTACCATTGGTATGATTACATCTCATAATAGTTATGACAGACCAAGCGAGTTGTGGACAGAGCACTGGGTCTGGAAGACAAAGCCCTGTGTGGACTAAGTAACCCCCCTGCAGTGGTGTAGGCTTTGATATGTATTGTTCCTTTTGCAAGTGCAGCTGTAGTCCAAAAGGGTGACAGCCTATATTTAGCAAGTGGGATCTGGGGTTACCAGGGATGTTTGGAGAGCCAGCCAGTCTGCCTCAGTTGCCTCAAGCTGAATGAATAAGTTCATGTAGAGAATAAGTTCTCTATAAAAATGGCAATACTTTTGCATCTTAATTGCAGTTTCTGATGTCTAGTGCTAGAATTCATTTCTACAGCCAGATAAGATCACATTAAAATAAGCAAATCTCCAGGACACTGATTTTTAGCTTCGGGATTCTTGGATTGTATAGTGTTTACTTCTTTTTACTTCAAGAGAAGGAAAGTGGGCACATCTCTAAACCTTAAATAACAGTCATGAATATTGCACTATTTGACCACAGTGGTAATGTGGAGGACATCCAAGGAACGGAGGAAAGGAGAGTGTTACTCTACAGGGAATACATTGTCATTTGGAATTAAGGTTGAGAAATCTCAGTGGAACCATTAAAACCTGAGAACTAAAATGAAAATAAAGGACTGTACTCAAAACACTCTGGCTCTCATTCCATGGATGGTTTAAAAAAGAAAAAACACTCTGGCTCAAGCAATCGGGCTTGCCTGGAGGCAGAGGGAAAATTAGGCAGTGAGTAAAACTACAGCATTGGATATATGAAAACTACTAATGGGATTTTGTAAAGACACCATCAGAAACTTGGGAGAGAAAAGGATCAGCTTTAAAAGCAAACCATAGGGAAATTGGAAAAGGAAATTTCAAAAGTTAAAATATTTAAGCAAGCCATTAAACAGATAAAAGAGGCTTTTGGGAAGATTAGGGCCTAGAGCGTCCAGTCATGCGAAGCCTCTTATCTCTAGGACACCAATGTAGGGCAGAGACTTACTATGAGGCTTTTTCTTCTGATCCCCTGCACAGTCCCCAGTAGGAAAACTCCTTTCTCTTAGGCCAGGTGGCTTCCTTTGTCCCTTTCCTCCTCACTGTTTCATTTGCATTAATAGTAAAACTGTCTTAATTTTGAATGCTTTAAAATCATAACTAAAAAGTCTTCAAATACAAATCTTAAGCTTATGCTAAGGTAGAAATTTGCTAAGGAAATCTGAGTACAAGAACAATTGCATGAAACTTCAGTAATTAACATTTACCATAGCCAATATTGTGTGCATAGAAAAATACCAATCCAAGTGAAAGAATTAACTACAAATTAGAAAAGAATGCGATTTACTCAGTTCCTCTCCCTTCAAAACCACACAGGTAATATATGCTTTGAACACTAAAAATGATGAGCATGAATCTGCAATTCAAGCCCTCAAAGATGCTCATGAAGAAGAAATCCAACAAATTCTTGCAGAAACAAGAGAAAAAATATTGCAATATAAAAGCAAAGTGACAGAGGAGTTAGACCTTAAGAGAAAGATTCAAGTTTTAGAAGCATCATTAGAAGATCACATAAAAATGAAGCAGCAGGCTTTGACAGAATTTGAAGCTTATAAGCACAGAGTTGAGGACATGCAACTCTGTGCAGAAGCCCAGCACGTCCAACGCATAGTGACCATGTCTAGAGAGGTTGAAGAGATTAGAAGGAAATTCGAAGAAAGATTACGGAGCTTTGGACAACTCCAAGTACAGTTTGAGAAAGACAAAAGATTGGCATTTGAAGATTTGCAAACTGCTCACAGACAGGAGATCCAAGAGCTATTGAAGTCACAGCAGGATCACAACTCCTCAGTCAATAAAGGGCAGGAGAAGGCAGAGGAACTGCACAGACTGGAGGTGGAGACCTTAAACAAAACACTTGAAGAGCTTAGGCTTGAACAGAAAAAACTAATTGAGGATTATGAAGGCAAGTTGAATAAAGCTCAGTCCTTTTATGAACGTGAGCTTGATACTTTGAAAAGGTCACAGCTTTTTACAGCGGAAAGCCTACAGGCCAGCAAAGAAAAGGAAGCTGATCTTAGAAAAGAATTTCAAGGACAAGAAGCAATTTTAAGAAAAACCATAGGAAAATTAAAGACGGAGTTACAGATGGTACAGGATGAAGCTGGAAGTCTTCTCGACAAATGCCAAAAGCTTGAGATGGCACTTGCTACAGCAGAGAGCAATGTTCAGGTATGTAAAGAATATTACAGACAACACATGGATTTCTTTTCCCAGTTTTCTGTTTTAGATATATTAATTTTGTAGACTGGAGAGCAGTCTGGCTGGCATAGGATCAGCTTTTTTTCATTCACAGCATTTAAACTTCTTTTTTTTTTTACATTTTACCTTTTCCTGCTTTCCTTTGTGAGAAAAATTAATGAAGGGATAATTTTTATTGCCCTATAACTATTATTTCAGAATTTCAGATATTAAGGGCCCAAAAAGATAAACTTAAAAGTTACTGATTATTTACAAAAGTATTTTATTTATTTAACGTGTTAATATTTTCCAGAAATGGTTTGGGGAGAGTTAAAATATTGGGCTTAGAGTTTGTGTTTTTTCTTTTCCCTTCATTAATAATGGGGTTTGCCCATTAGTTGATATTTAGACATTGATCAAAAAATTGATTCCTTTATAAACCTGAATTTAGTAGAGGTATGGCACAAGCCTGGTGGGAGGGAGCCAAAAATTCTCTATAAGTTTTGCTTTGTTGGCATAGAAAATTTCATAGCTATGTTTTTTAATATCTGTGCCTTAGTATGGTTTAGAAAGGGTAAAATATAGCCTTTCCGGATTGGGTCATATGACTGGTAAAAATACCAAGTTATAAATTTCACCTCTACTTACAGATTTAAAAACTGAGTATAGTTAAGTAAGACTTGTTTTTTTTTCTTTTTTAATTTTACTTTTTTTTCACCAAGGTTACCTTCAAGGTAAGGTATGACTTCCAAATGAGAGAAAGCTGATGCTTATAATTTAAATAAATTGTTTATCTTAGTATCATTCTTGCATTTTAATAATGGCTATTTAATCTTTCTTAGGTTCTTCAAAAACAGCTTGATGAAGCCAAGGAGGGAGAAATGGCCTTATTAAGCAAGCACAAAGAAGTGGAAAGTGAGCTAGCAGCTGCCAGAGAACGTTTACAACAGCAAGCTTCAGATCTTGTCCTCAAAGCTAGTATGTCTGACCACAGTTTTGATGTAATGCTCAGCTAAAACCAACAATTACATGTTAACTCAAGACAAAATTCATCTTTTCTCCTAATATTTTATTTATTTATTTATTTTTAAAATTATTTTATTTTATTTTGTTTATTGAGACAGAGTCTCCCTCTGTTGCCCCGGGTAGAGTGCAGGGGCGTCATCATAGCTCACTGTAACCTCAAAACTCCTGGGCTGAAGCGATCCTCTTGCCTCAACCTCCTAAGTAGCTGAGACTAAAGGCATGCACCAAGGCTAATTTTGGCTAATTTTTCTATTTTTCGTAGAGATGGTGTCTCACTCTTGCTCATGCTGGTCTCGAACTCCTGAGCTCAAGCAGTCCTCCTGCCTCGGCCTCCCAGAGTGCTAGTCTTCTAACATTTTAAAATTATTTAGACTCTAAATATGTTCAGGGACTCTAATGTCTTACTAATTATTCATAAGATAAGCAAATAATAACTTATTTGTAGGAATACATTTTTTATTTAAAAAATAGCAGATAAAACCATCAGTAAATCAGTCACTAGAAAAAATGAAGCACTCTTTCTAAGAGGCTTTGTCCTTTAAAAACATATATTTTAAGGTATTTAAAGTAGTTTAACTGTATGTAAATTGCAGCACCTCATTTCATCGGGCTTGTTATTAATGCTTGCTTTACATACTAAAAATGAGTTGCCCATTTCTGAAGTGGCCAATGTGCTCGTTTCATAGCCCATACTTGAAGAGACAGGTGACCCATGCCAGTTCTGAAGTTATATTTTGTCTGAGTGTTTAGTGTGGCCGACGAAGCTGTTTGAGCTAGTTCTTTGAGGACCTCATGATTTTGATGGGCTTATCAGTGAATTCCAGATTTCCCTCCCCCTAAAGTAGCCATTTTAAATAACCTTAGCACACATCAGAATTACCTGGAGGGTTTGTGAATCTAGGGCTGCCCGGCCCCACCCCCGGAGCTGCTGACTCAGTAGGCCTGGGGTGGCTGCATTTCTAACTAGAGTTCCCAGGTAGTGCTGGAGCCGGATGCTTCTTTGAGAACCAGTGTCCTAAACCATGTTTTTCTGTGAGACCCTTTTTATTTTCCTCTCTCTCTCTCCTTATTCCCCCCTTTTTTTGCTGTCATTTATTTTATTCTTTCATACCCTTGCTGTCCTTATCTGTCTTTTACTCCACTTTAGCTCTTTATCTCGCTTCTTATCTAAAGCAAGGGTCAGTTCCCACCAAACTACCTTCTGCCACCTTTATTCCCTGAATACAGATTTCTTCCTCTTTATATTAGAATTTGAAAAAAAAGGGATTAGAAAATAACAAATTACTTATTTTGGCTCCATAGCATTAGGCATTGCATCCTCTCTTACTTCGTTTTACTCCCAGGAGACTTACATGAACTCTGAGGAGTTGCTCTGGTATCAACCTGTATAGCTTGCAGGCTTTAAAAAAAAAAAAGTGGAACAGTACTAGGTACAGGAGCAACATCAGTCATGTGAAAATGACTTTCTAATTTAAATTATTCTAGTTGGGTGAGAAGTATTCCCATGGTAAATATTTCCATTTTGTACAATGAGGAAACCAAAGAAAAATTTGCACACGCAGACCCTTTATTCTACTTAGGTATAAAGTACAGTTGTGTCATTAAATATAAACTGTTTTATATCACGGTGCAACAGAGTTTTTAATTGAAGGGATTTTGTTTTTTGGGGGTAGGTCACATTGGAATGCTTCAAGCAACTCAGATGACCCAGGAGGTTACAATTAAAGACTTAGAATCAGAAAAATCGAGAGCAAATGAGAGGTTATCTCAACTTGAAGAAGAAAGAGCTTTTTTGCAAAGCAGAACTCAAAGTCTGGATGAAGAGCAGAAGCAGCACATTCTGGAACTGGAGAAGGTGAAAAGTAACAGAGTACCCCATTCCCAAAAAGAGGAAAGGAAGAAAAGTTCAGTTTTCCTCTTTTTTTAGATTTGAAGTGTTCGACATGTTTATTCCTACTCCACAGGAACAATGCATTTCTTAGGCTAGTAGTTGTTTTTGAGGAAAAAGGTGTATAGCAAGACTATCCTACATTGTGTGTATGTTCAGAATATGTGGGTAACAATCTATAATATTTTGAGCCAGAAACTGAGTAAAATCTTATTTCAGTGTAGTGCATTTATAGTCATGTTTATTTTTCTGTTAATGGAATATATTATTGCATAAACACCTAGGAAATTTCTCTAAAACTGAAAAGGATGACAAGCATCATGCTCTGAAAATTCATATACCAACAGACTGAATTTCTAGTTTAACAAGTTAAGACATCATTTGTAGAGTAATTGCTGAATATTTATTCCAATTTTTCAGATACTCACAACACCAAGTGGGGATTTTGGACATCCTTTCCTTTCTCCTTCCTTCAACTGCTAAGTGTATTGAATGATGTCTATTCTTCTTGCTCCTGGCTCACTCCCATTCTCTCCTTAACTGGATGCAATCTGCTCTTAACACCATTCCACGGCATCTGCCTTTGCCCCATCCCCCACTGACATCCTCATTGCTGGGCTTGGTGGATCTTATCATACTGTCATTACTTCCTACCCACTGATCTACAGTGTCTCTCTTCTCTTGGCATTTCATATTCTCTCACGTTTTTCTCCCACCTCCTTGGCCTTGCAGTCTTCTTTGTGAAATTCCCTCCTCTATCTGTTCCCTTATCATTGATGTTCCCAGGCTTTTTGTCTCATTCTGCACACTCATGCATTCATGTTCACTGATCACTTCTAAGTCTGTAGGTCCAGACCAGATATTTTTCCTGAACTTGAGTCCTATATATCTAACTTTCCAGTAGATACCTCCATTTACGTCTTTCACATGGGTGAAAAACAGACATATCAAGCCAGCATACCCAGCACTTTCTCCCCTCAAAAGTACTATATTTCTTTTTCTCCTTATTTCAACCGATAGCACCACACACAGTCCATCTAGTTGCTAAATCAGAACCCCGGGAGTCATTCTTGATTTTCAACAAGTCGTTCTTATTTTTTCCATCCCCTTATCGGTTACCAAATCCTGTTGGTTCTACTCCCTTCCTATGTTTTTATTCTATCCTCCCCTTTTCTTTCTTACCCACTCACAGATCCCAGGTTTAGGCACCTGTCATTGCCTGGATTACAGTCACAGCCTCCTGACAGCTCTCACTGCTTACGGTCAGCTCACTGCCCTGCTGCCAAGATGTTTTTAAAAATGTATCACTTAAAATTCAGTGATTGCTCAGTCCCTTCAGAATGAAACCCAAAGTTCTTAGCATAAAGACCCCTTCTCATTATTTGGCTCCTACTTCTGAGCCCCATCTCTCACCACTCCCAGCCTTACATGCCATGTTCTACCAGACTGCACAGCTGCCTGGACTTTCTGTCTCCCTAAACTTTGCCACCCGATTAGCTACTTCTCATCTTTCAGAATGTTGGAAGGCAGTAGAAATGGTTATGAATGCAGGCTTTTGACATCAGACCTGGGCTTGACATTTTCTCATCTTTACTTTCCTTATGGGTTTGTTGTGAAAATTAAATAAAAGAATATGTTACTAGCTCAGGTATCTTCTCTTCTGAAAAGCCTTCCCTGATATCTCTCTAGAACTTGTAAAACTATATTGCCACTGTCTTTTGACTTTATCACTAGACTATGAATGCTTAAAAGGTGTGTAATTGGCACTCAAAACTGTATTGAATAATATCATGTGAGTGGGTTAATTAATAAGCCATTTTGTGTACTACTTTGACATACAGGAAGCCTTTCTCTCTTAAGCTTATAGATGTGCTAACTCACATTGATTCTAACCCAATAATAGTCTGTTTTATCTCTTGCTTTAAAATTTTTTCATTTTCTCTGTGCCACCCTGTCCCTTTCTGAGAACACCAATGATCTGTTCTCATGTTTCATAGTCTAGATCCCATAGCACTCAGTTCATTCAAACTGACATATTTATGGGGTATTCAAATTGCCCTGGCAGCAATGAAAAAAGCAGGTGCCAATTATTGACTTTTATCTGTTTTAATTTTAGAAAGTAAGTGAAACAAAGAGAACTCAGCAAGAATATTATGAAATGGAGCTAAAAAACCTGCAAAATAGATTGGAAGAGGAGGTGACTCAATTAAACGAGGCACATTCTAAGACTTTGGAAGAATTAGCTTGGAAGCACCATATGGCAATTGAGGCTGTCCACAGTAATGCAATTAGGGATAAGAAAAAGCTGCAAATGGTAAGCAAAACTTCAGTTCATCATCGCCTTGTAAATTGACGGGATTTCTGTAATGGTCCAGCAAGACCTATATTGGAAAGTAATGATTTGCTTAGTTTCATTGGATGCTGTCTTGTAATTATTCTTTGAATCATGGTTCAGAGTAACATATTAATGCATGAAAATTCTTGATACAGGATGTAGTTTATTGAATTGACATGAGGCATTGCTACTTTGTATAAGACATCATAGAAATGCTGCGTTTTTTCTTTTTTCTGACAAAAATGTCATTCAGAAAAAAAACCACTCTTTTTGATGTTGTGCTGTCTCTTCATGAGACAACCGAATAGATATACTCCTCCGGAAACCTCAGCTAGTTGAAGGACATATTTTCTTGTAGCTATGGCTTCCTTCTCTAGGAAAATGATTTATGTTTTGTTTTTTTCTTTCCCAATTAAGTAGTCTTCTTGCTAATAGTAATACATGACAGACAGAATTGCATAGTAGAAAAAGCAAAGTATCTGACAGACCTTGGCCTTCCCCTGAGCTCTTTGCTTACCGCTCTGCATTACCTTGGGCCCCCAAAGCTATGCCTCAGGCTCCTCACCTGACAGAAAATTCGACTTATCTTAAAATGTTATTGCAAGGATTAAGTGAGATAAAGTGTTGAGTACCCCAGATATATTCTAGCATATGGTGATAAATCTTAGTTATTAGTGATTCTTAACTATGTGCCAGACACTACAGTAATGGTTTACATTTTTTTTTTTTATTTAAGCCTATGACCCTGCTATTGGTTTGGTTGCTATGCCCATTTTACTGAAGAGGGGATTTGCTCAGCACATGCGACTAGCAAGTCAGGCAGGCCTTGGACTCAGGTCTCAGATCTGTCAAACCCCAGGCATTTAAATACTGTCATGTAGGCATTTATTAATGGTGGTTGTTACATGTTTTACTACTAGCATCTTATAGTTTACAAGGAACTTTCCTATATGTTCCTTAATACTTACGACTTGGAGATTGGAATCATCTTTATCATATAGATGGTAAAGTAGGTTTAATAAACCTAAATTATTTACTCAGAGCCACAAACCAAGTAAGTAGGATAGGATATGAATTAAGAGCCACCTCAGTGTCCCTTCCATTATGACATGACTAGTTGGAAAAAATATTTAAGACCTAAACTTAATTAAAAATTCAAATAAAATTTTCTGTTAGAATGTTATTTCTTTCTAAACTTACTGTTATGTTTATGTAGCCAGATACAAAAATTAATGACACGTTATTTCTCAAGATTCTGACTGTAGTTTTTTGTGTGCCTGCTCGCTATTCAGGACCAGTTTGTACAGCTTTAATTATGTGGTACATGTATCAAGTGTTCAAGGTTTTATAGTAAAGTATTTAGTGGTAGCTGCTGCTTCTGTAATCTCTTTGCAAGCTATCTTTTGTTATTATTTTTCATTTCTACATCTCTTTTTCATTTTAGCCTTCATATTGGAATAAATTTCATGTATCCTGCCTTTACCCTTTCTTTATTCCTCTATATTAAGTTCCAAGTACTAGAATCAAGACATCTTTTATCAATATTGTTTTTTACCTCATTACTTTACTCCTCATCATCCCTTTACCAAATTAAATTTTAATTTTCTAGCCACCTAATCTGCCTTAAGCCATTTACGTTTCTTAAAATCTTTGTTTAAAACATGGTTGCTGTAAGACAGAAGGCATGAAATTTCCTGTATGTGAACATAATCAAAACCTCTATCGCAACCTTATTCATACCTTTCTCTTTTACCACGATAACTTGTGTATCACTTGCTGCTTCAATCCTCTCTCTCTCTTTTTTTTTTTTTAAGACAAGTCTCACTTTGTTAACCTGAGTAGAGTGCCGTGGCATCTGCCTAGCTCACAGCAACCTCAAACTCCTGGGCTCAAGCGATCCTCCTGCATCAGCCTCCCGAGTAGCTGGGACTGCAGGCATGTACCACCATGCCTGGCTAATTTTTCTATTTTAAGTAGAGACAGGGTCTTGCTCTTGCCCAGGCTGGTCTCGAATTCTGAGCTCAAGGGATCCTCCTGCCTCGGCCTTCCTCGGTGCTAAGATTATAGGCGTGAGCCACAGCGCCTGGCCTCAATCCTCTCTTTCTTGCCTATGTAGTGCACATCTGAGCCTAAGTTAAAACCAGTCTTCTCCAGGATAGTCTTTCTCCAATGTCAAATTATCTCTTGTGGAACATTTAGGTAAAGATGACTTCTCTGTGCCTTATTATTTACTTATCAAAAAGAATTACAGCACTTTGGAGGCCGTGATGGGAGGATCACTTGAGGTCAAGAGTTTGATACCAACCTGAGCAACATAGCGAGACCCTCTACAAAATGTAGAAAAATTAGCTGGGCATGGTGGTACATGCCTGTAGTCCCAGCTACTTAGGAAGCTGAGGCAGGAGGATCGCTTAAGCCCAGGATTTTGAGGTTGCAGTGAGCTGTGATGATGCCACTGCCTTGTAGCCCAGGTAACAAAGCAAGACCCTGTCTTTAAAAAAAAAAAATACAGAATTACATTGTGCATCATACCTCTAGTTCACCCACCCCATCTGAGAATGAATATAAGACAACCCATGATGCAGAAAAGAGTTAACACAGCTGGCTTGAGACTACTGTCCTTAGAATGGCAAGCTGGCCCTTGGCTGGTATCTGGGAACTTGGATTTTGGGAGGATTCCCACCATTCCCTTATAAGAATGGCTCATTGTGCCTAAACTGTGTATGCAAATGATGTGGTTTATGCAAACACCTGCTGGGAGTCTGGAATTTGGTATGTCATGGGAGGGAGGTAGCTATGTGACCATGGCCCAGTAAAAAAGCTGGGCACTGAGTCTCTCATGAGCTTCCCTGGTAGACATCATTAGAGTCACTGTTAACTCTGATTATTATTAATCAAGAATAAGGCCAATTTGTAGAGCAAAGTATCAAAATACAAAAACAGAATAGTCTTTTCCTTGGATTCTTCAAAGTATATAGTATTTGCAATATTGTTAATTTTTAAAATTTTCTTTTTGTAAGGAATTGGAGGAACAACATAAAAAGGAGAAACTAAACCTGGAAGAAGATAAAAATCATCTTCAACAAGAGCTAGAAAACCTGAAGAAAGTACTGGAAGATAAGTTGAATACAGCCAATCAAGAGGCAAGAATTCTTTAGGCCTATCACCTATGTTATATATATTAACAATATTAGTGACTTATTCTGGTGACGTTGTAGAAGTAGGTGAGCCTCAGTGAAGGTAACATATCTGGAGTAAAAATAATCAAAAAATTTTATGCTGAATTTTTCATAATTTTGGTTATGTCCCACTAGGTAAAAATTCACTGTCAAAAACATTAAACCAAGGCGCTTTTGTGGGAGCGAAATCAAAACAAAGGGGAACATCACTATATGGGAAAAAAAACAAAAGAGGTTTCTCTGCTCTTTTACAAAATATTAGCTTAGTATTCTCTATACTGTGTCTCTTTCTACAATTTCAACAGAATTGTAGGATGGTAGCTAGAGTGAGTAGGCTTAATCTGAGTACTAGTATGCAACACTGCTCTTTTAAAACTAGATGTGAATTGAAGAGGAGAGCAAAGTGAAGTTTCAACCTCAAATCAAAAAAGTTCCACATGGGCTAAGGATTAAAATGTAATACAAAATCATGAATGTGAATATAAATAAAATACGAAAACACAAGTGACAAACCTTAGGACAAAGAAGGCCTTTTGAATATAATACCCATATCATGAATTAAAAACAGAATATTTATGCAGCTAAACCTGAAACTTCTGTATATCAAAACATATCATAAGCAAAATAAAAAGAGAGGAAAAATTGGGATGGATGGAAAGAACAGTTGACAGATTGTATGACTAACAAAGAATTCATGTCTTTAACACCTTAAGAGTGTTTACAAAACAATAAGAAAAATACAGGTACCCAATTTGTTTTTATAGACTGAAGAAGAACATGAAAAAACAATTTGTTTTGTGTAATTTAAGAACTGGAAATGAAATCAATGAGATGCCATTCCATTACCAAATAGAGTGAGACCATGCAATGTTGATGAGGGTGAAGAAATAAGCACTCAGAAGCTGCTGGTGGGAATATAAAATTGTATAATTTTCCGTGCACATATGAAAGGCTTAAAGATAGTCCTTTGACTCTGCAGTTTCATTTCTGTGTATTTAACGTTACCAGATAATTATGGATTATTGATAAAAATCAGCACTATTTATGGAAGAAATTTAGAAGCAACTTAAATTTTCACAGAACTCTTTCTAGAAGATAGGAAGTCTTTTCTAATTCACACAGAAGCATTGTTCTGTACTCTGGGGCTACTTCCATGCCGAGAGGGATTGCTTTTCTCCTGTTTGGAGGTGCCATATGGCCTAGCAGCTGCCCTGGTACAAGACAAGGTCAAGAAAGTGAGGGCATTGAGGGTCCTTTTAAAAGTTAAATACCTACATATTGAGATGTTAAAGAGATTTCACTTCTTCTTAATTGCTAGTAGGTATATATGAACTTTTTCTGTAATTGACTCATTTATTTGTTCAATAAATATTGAATGGCTGTTAGATACCAAAGCACTATGTTAGGCATTGTGGTTTCAGCAGTGAATAAGTTAGACATGGTCTCTACTACCGTGGAGAGAGAGACTGGGAAACAAGTAATTACAAATCTGATGTATATTGCAAAAGGGTAGTAAGTGATTAACAGGGTCTTGCCAGAATCATAAACTGAAGAAAGCTTATGTAAAGGCCCTGAAGTGTGAGAAATTTCTAGGTATTGTAGGAATGCCAGTATAGTTGGAGTATGATAGCAACTATAATAATAATTAATATTTATTTAGTGCTTTCTATATCCAGCATTGTTTTATAAAGTCTCTTCTTTATACTGTTCTCTCCTTTAATCCTTACAACAATACTGTGCAGTAGATACCAGTTACTAAGTCACAGAAAAGTTATATAACTTGCCCAAGACTCATCGTAAATAGGTAAAGCCAGAATTCCAATCCATGCGGTGTGATTTCAGAACTCAAATCTTAACTGTAGTGTTACTCTTCCTTTCAGTGAGTATAAGGCCAAGAAGGGGGGTTGCCAGGCTGAGGCTAGAGATTTAGGGGCTATGCCATGGAGGCCCTGTAAGCCACACGAAAGATTTTAAATGTTATCCCAGGG